TAGAGGAACTTTAAATTTTACAACAATAAATGCTGAATAATAAAATACATATATATTGCTATTTTTATTTACTTCAATGCATGAAAAGGTTGATGTATACACATATACTTAACACGCTGACTACTGTATGACTTATATGCGACCTGCACTATTATTTGGCAATATATAAAACTTGATTGGTGTAGCTATTACGACAAATATTGATTATTTAGTTATTATTTGGTTAAATAAATTACTTCAGTTTTGTGACATTTTTATTTCAGTAGTCAACGCGTTAAATAAGGTTAGACATCAACAATATATTTATAGGCTAGATTTATAATAAGTTATATTTAAATACAATCCACATATGCTTATAAACGTTTCATTAATATCAAAGCTTTGACTGGATGTAAAGGACAATTTTATTACAGGTTTTTCGCTTTTTAACGAAATTTTTTTTTAATATTGTAAACATTTTAATATAGATAGCTCTCACCATGATGTTTATGCAGACACATTTCTTCATCAAATTAAGGCGACACCCGCTAATTAGTATTGTACATTCACTGATGAGTGGTTGTTAGAGTGAATTACTATTGAATTGTTCGGATAAAACTAGTCTTTGTACGCAGAGTTAAACCAGTTAAGCAGCCACTGATCTTTAATGAAATAAAAAGAAATATAACAAAAAATTAGGATAATAAATTAGTGATGTGCTAATATACATTATGATCGTCGAATATAAGATAACAATTAGTAATGCAACTTACTGCATCAAGATATTAGTTAAATTAATATTTTACAATTACACAAAAGTATTTGTAAAACAATACTTCTCTTTCACTACATGATGCATGAAAAAGATATGTATGTATATACAATATAATAAGTCTGTTTAAGAAATACATGAAATACATATTGTGGCAGTCAGCTACTTAAATGTGGATTATAAAATAGTCTTAAGTAGCCTGTCTCTTATACACATCTAGATGTGTATAAGAGACAGGCTACTTAAGACTATTTTATAATCCACATTTAAGTAGCTGACTGCCACAATATGTATTTCATGTATTTCTTAAACAGACTTATTATATTGTATATACACTGTCTCTTATACACATCTAGATGTGTATAAGAGACAGGCTACTTAAGACTATTTTATAATCCACATTTAAGTAGCTGACTGCCACAATATGTATTTCATGTATTTCTTAAACAGACTTATTATATTGTATATACACTGTCTCTTATACACATCTAGATGTGTATAAGAGACAGGCTACTTAAGACTATTTTATAATCCACATTTAAGTAGCTGACTGCCACAATATGTATTTCATGTATTTCTTAAACAGACTTATTATATTGTATATACACTGTCTCTTATACACATCTAGATGTGTATAAGAGACAGGCTACTTAAGACTATTTTATAATCCACATTTAAGTAGCTGACTGCCACAATATGTATTTCATGTATTTCTTAAACAGACTTATTATATTGTATATACACTGTCTCTTATACACATCTAGATGTGTATAAGAGACAGGCTACTTAAGACTATTTTATAATCCACATTTAAGTAGCTGACTGCCACAATATGTATTTCATGTATTTCTTAAACAGACTTATTATATTGTATATACACTGTCTCTTATACACATCTAGATGTGTATAAGAGACAGGCTACTTAAGACTATTTTATAATCCACATTTAAGTAGCTGACTGCCACAATATGTATTTCATGTATTTCTTAAACAGACTTATTATATTGTATATACACTGTCTCTTATACACATCTAGATGTGTATAAGAGACAGGCTACTTAAGACTATTTTATAATCCACATTTAAGTAGCTGACTGCCACAATATGTATTTCATGTATTTCTTAAACAGACTTATTATATTGTATATACACTGTCTCTTATACACATCTAGATGTGTATAAGAGACAGGCTACTTAAGACTATTTTATAATCCACATTTAAGTAGCTGACTGCCACAATATGTATTTCATGTATTTCTTAAACAGACTTATTATATTGTATATACACTGTCTCTTATACACATCTAGATGTGTATAAGAGACAGGCTACTTAAGACTATTTTATAATCCACATTTAAGTAGCTGACTGCCACAATATGTATTTCATGTATTTCTTAAACAGACTTATTATATTGTATATACACTGTCTCTTATACACATCTAGATGTGTATAAGAGACAGGCTACTTAAGACTATTTTATAATCCACATTTAAGTAGCTGACTGCCACAATATGTATTTCATGTATTTCTTAAACAGACTTATTATATTGTATATACACTGTCTCTTATACACATCTAGATGTGTATAAGAGACAGGCTACTTAAGACTATTTTATAATCCACATTTAAGTAGCTGACTGCCACAATATGTATTTCATGTATTTCTTAAACAGACTTATTATATTGTATATACACTGTCTCTTATACACATCTAGATGTGTATAAGAGACAGGCTACTTAAGACTATTTTATAATCCACATTTAAGTAGCTGACTGCCACAATATGTATTTCATGTATTTCTTAAACAGACTTATTATATTGTATATACACTGTCTCTTATACACATCTAGATGTGTATAAGAGACAGTCTATTGAGTGTGAAATTTTCGTTAATCCACTCTTATGGAAAGAAAAAAAATTGTCTTAAAAAATTTTAAATATCAATATCATTAACAAATCACTGCCACATTCAACATTTAAGTATCAATTCATTAATTATTTAAGTACTACATGAAAAGTTTGTTATAAATAATGTCATATAAATTTACAACCCATAAATAAATCTGCTATAAAAGTTATGCAAGTCTAAAGCTCTTATGTCTCTTGATTTGTTTATTTCTTTTTAATCGAAAGGGCCTTAGTACTACGATAAATAAAATAATCTCTGGCTTTAATGATTAATGAATCAAGCTTAAAAGTGACATCTAAAATACATATGGAGGTACTCTCTTTTTTTTAACAATAAAGAACTGCAGAAATTTAGGTAAGAAATTCTTCTTTCATACCAAAATATTTTAAGAAAATCCCCATGGGCGTACGCTCAATTCCCATACCCTCAATTTTGTTGACTAACTTATTCTTAATATTCCTTAATCTCAGCGATGCGTGTACAAAAATCACTGAAAATATAATATCAGAATTAAAACAAGTCAGACAAATATGTTGCAATCATGAAATTCATTGTAAACTTACCGCAAACTGGTAATAAGATAGTAAACAGCGCCACTAAAAAGATTGAAGTTACAATATAGATCAGTAAACATGCGCAAATAATAAGGAACATTGTCTGAACCACTGGATATTGTCTTCTTATTTGACACAATGCCTCGTGTTCGGTAAATACAAAAATATACATGATTCCTATCGATAATACTCCAAGTATCAGCTCTTTTGGATGCAGAAATCTAAGTAAATAATAATATGTAACATAGATAAAATCTATAAAGTTTACTTTTTCTGTCTCTTATTATGGTACGGATTTCCAAAAACTTTAATACTATAAATATGTAACGAGGCTAATTTAAAAAGAAAAATGCTTAAAACACTTGCGTATCCCATAATGTGAGACAGAGAACATCGAAATAAAATTTTCTAGGCATTATTACAATTACTTACCCAGCAACAAGCATAATGCTGAAAGACATATAGAGATAGTTGGTTTGATAATAGATAAGATTATTTACCACTCTATTACCCCATTTCTCGAAATCATTAAAATTCGGCAATTGGAAACCAGATGGTTCCAATAAAAAATCTTTTAAACCCCGAAGGGGTGGTAATTTGCAACCGTCGTTCAGCGACTTAACTCTATCCATCGTTCCGCACTGTTGTAAGTTACAACTTCTTTCTTATACTCTCGCGACAGACAACCTATTTCGCCACTTGATATTTTTAGACGATGACGACCATAAGACCAGTGTCATGGAATGTTTACACGATCAACGTTACCCTCGTTAGAATATAACAAACTAGATTACTTCATGTGACAGTTTCAACGTTTCACAGACGTCGATAGAAAGCTTTCCATCTCTCGAATTGCGAAAGATCGTGCACCACCAAGTGTAACGTCTTCGAAACCAGTTCAAAAATGTACGGAATTTCTTAGCGCGTTTCCTTATCTATTGTCAAGTGCAAAGTATCGAAGAACAGTGCATATGTCTATGTACATATAGGATTCACGTCATTTATATCGGGGAAACTCAAATGCAGCGCGCATTTTAAAAGTCATTCTTCTCAACAGATCAGTATCAGTCATGGAATTTTATTCGATACAATATTAAATAAGTCAACATATACATACAATAGAGTTGTCGTACATTCGAAATCAATTAATTATTAATCGTAAATGCTAATCGTTAATCGCTGGTTAAAAAGTTATTTCAAAAAGCTATTCATTGTTTCTTAATTTTTAATTGAAATTGAATTAAAATCGTATTTTGAAAAATACATTAAAATATATATTTGTTCGCAGGTATTAACCTTAATAACGCGTGTTTCAACATCCTTGTCAGTGATACATTTTGTGAATTAATTATCTCTTCACTTTTTAATTTACTTACATTGCACCTTCATTTTTGTTCATTAAATTGAAATACGCGTGTTCTTTCTCTCAGTTTATTTCGCCGTTGAAAGAATCATGTCGGAAAGGAATTACAATGCTGAATGTGCTACACGTGACAATAATATCGTATAAAATATTGGTAAACATCGTCGATTTATTGTAGTCAAAATATAAAATAGTATCGGCCGATCGATGGAATGCGGTTAAATGTAAGGCATTCGTACGATTCTACAATGTTTCAAGCGTATAAAAAAGGCACAACAATTTCCTTTGTCCCAGGTCACGAAAATGTTCAATTGATGGCATCGCACGCGTCGATCCAGTCATTGTATACGTCGATCGGCTCCGACAGAACGGTGACGGTGGTCTGATAATCCTCCAAGCAAACTCGGCACGAGATTTTCGCCGTATTTCGGGCCTTATCCCTGAAATCACAAAGGACGCTACACTTTATAATCCGTTTCGGCAGCCATTGATTTCTTTGTAAACACAGAACTTACATTTTTACTTCGCACGATTTTTCATGATTACAAAACGGGCACGTAAATTGTGTATCCATGGGCTCGATGGCTTTTCTTTTTTGAGGAGCCTGCCGTTTACTTTTTCTCCGACCCATTTTCGATTGTATAATACCTTTCCAACTTTCAGGTCCCAGTACTACTAAATAACTGCGTTAAATGCGTTGCCGGAGTTTTCGGAAAAGCTGTAAGGGTGTTCCAAAATTATCGTTCTTTTCCGGGAAGTGGGGGGTTCCTGAGGTCATTAGAAATTACTTTTTTCCTTAAGGAAAATGTAATCCGTTGCCTAGTTTATGAATTACCGTAATGGGACCTACTCCTGCACCTTTTTTTTACTCCCTAAGCTGACTCACACATCCCCACCATTTTATTGCCCATCCAATTCGCAGTGGATCCTGTCTCAGCAGTAAATCGTCAACCAATCGGAGCAAAGAAAGTTTCTATATCGATCCTTGCTAACGGATCAAGCTGCGGCTTGGAGGTGTGCAGGAGTAAGTCCCTTTTCCGTATCAACGAAAAACAGTGACCAATGATAGGCTCAGCTGCTACAAGGTGGTCGAGCGAGCGGCACCGGCTTCGAGCGTGGGACGCGACGACTTCGGGCCACGTTTTGAAGCGTGAACTTTCTGAAATTTTTTTACCAAGTGACAGTGATATTTTGAAGAAAAACGCTGTTCACCCTTATTTTACTATTACTAATTTTTTAGTAATTTAAAACAGACAGAACAGAAGGAACAAAATGTGCACACACTGTGTATGAATAATCACATTTAATGTGTATTTTTACCATTAATTGAGTAATTATAATGGGGGTCTTTGATACAAAATTAATCTTAAGTATGTTACAAATTAATCTACAAGAATTTGAAGCACGCAAATGAGTAGATTTTCTTATTTGATATTGAATCATTATGATTTATTCATTATATAATTAAATATTAATAACACGCGACAATTTTTGCACCCTATTAAGCAGCAAATCCCCTTGTTTTACCATAGCTTGATATTGCCAATTTTTGCTATCGGGTCTATTGGTTTCAACTACTCCACCAACACGATCAACTTTACAGTGTAATCTTCCTGCTGCAATGAAACGTGATATTTCCCTAGAAGAAAAATTTGTATTACAAAGCCAAATCCGATTCCAATTAGTTGAATTGCAAAGCTGTGAATCTTACTGATCAATGTATTCCACCGTGACACCAAATGCCTCTGCCATATACTGCAGTGTCAGCGATCTGTACGATTCCAAAAGTTGTGTGTACGCGAGAATGCGCATTTCTCTGACATAATATCGATAATGAGGAAACACTAAATAGTCCCTGCGCAGTAAACCTTCCACGTGTGCTAAAAAAGTATCATCATGCTATTACACGATCTTGCTCTTACAAGTATACTTTTATCCATACAAAAGAATAAAATACCGAGATTCTTGAAGAAATCAGCATATTGGCAGTTGTACAAAGAGAACAAGTAATCTTTCACATCCGGGTTACTATGAAGTACTTCCAAAATTTCAGACCCTTTGATGATTTTATCTCTGAGCTCATTTCTTGGTAAACTTATCATACTTAAGTATACTGTGTATCTAACAAATGTATTGTAATCCATAAGCTCGTAACTTGTAAATGTGCTAATTGTATCCAAAAAGAAATTTGCAGCTTCTTTGAAATCTCTTACTGCTATACAGTACGTTCCTTGGTAAACCTTGAGTCTGTTTCTTCTATCCCAGTCACCACCTTCTTCTATTAAACTAAATTAAGAATATGTTATAAGTATTGTATGTTTCTTGTGCCTTATATATTATTGTTAGACAAGGACTTAAATCTTTCTACCTCTTAGCTTTTTCTATGCTCGCCGTAATGTGATCATGATCCAAATAGAACAATCCGATCCTAATATTATGAAATACAATATCTAGTCTGTGCCCCAAGGATACAGTTTTATAATAAGTTTTACGAAACGCAGAGATAGCACCTTCCTTATCTCCTATTCTACATAGGTGCTCAGACTTTTTAAGATTCGCTTCTCGAACCTCCATTTCTCCCAAATTCTTCTCGGCATCTTCAATAGCGTCGTCAAGTGCTTTCAACTTTTCCATATTACGTGCCTTCATTTCAGCCAAAAGGGTTTCATCCACAGTCCAGCTTAGATCTTTACATACATCTTCGTAAAATGGTGCCATGTCTACGGAAACCATAAATTTAAATGTAACTAATAGTTACATTTAACTGTCACTAACAGACAGATGAATATTAACTTAACAAACAAATATATATTACAAACTGCAAAACATGGAGATTAACTAGACAATGATAATAGCTCGAATATTTTGAACGGTAACTTCACAGAGAATCGAAGACAAAAGAGGTTAGAGTGAACTTTCGTAACAGAAAGTCGCATAAATTAATAAACGATGAACCGTTAGTACGAATAACAATTTAAATTCGGGCATTCGCTAACAATATATCGTAACTAAAGCTAATTAAATACATTAACATATCGGAATATTTAAAGCAAAAAGAGCAGAAAAAGATGCAATCTCACTTTCTGCTTTGATGGCATCTAAAAGCTTATTCTTTAAAAAGGGATCATCTTTGTGTTCCGGCAGGCTTAATAAAAACTTCGTTTGTGCCAGCTCCAAATTTGGATTCTTCTCCAAGCTTTCTTCTTCGAGATGTTCTAGCGGCATTGTAAACTAAAATTGTAATTGCAATTATCGATGGACACAATGAACCGACACTTTATCCACTATTGAAGCACAAACTATGCAACGAGCAAGATGCAACGTCGGAGTATTTTCAAGATCCATTTACATGTTCGAAAACTTTGTAATTACATATTATTATATATTATATTATTTATTATATTATATTATAATACTTATTATATTATTTTTATATATTATATATTATTTTTATATATTAGTTTTATATATTATATTATTACTATATTATATAATTATATATTATATACGTTACACCTGACGAATCTTGATAAATCTTGGCCCTTTACTCTTCCCTAGTTTCTTTACCTCCTTTCTCTTCTTCTTACTTAACTCGCCTTAATTTCGACGAGAATTCGAAAAGCCTCGACGTGCGCATGCGTCGAAAGACACATCGAGTGCGCGCTCTACTTCCACGCCTTGTATCTATGCCTCAATTTCTTCGTCCATCTAATGGCCAAATACGGAAGCCATATTTGCCCGAAGATATGCAAATAAAAGTACAGTTACCGACCCGGCACGACAGGTCGCATACATCGAAGGGGACGTTCCAGAGTTCAATAAGAATTCTCTTCGCACATTTCTGTTTGGTCGAGCATATTCGCTGCTTTCAGACGGAAATAAGGGTCGGGGCGTGTCGTTTTAACGAATCAGTTTATTTGTTGACACAAATTGCCAATGACTCCATTAATGCGAGCCGAGAAAGAGAAAAGTTAATCTCCGCAGCTTTCGTTAGGTTTCAAATTTACAAGAGGTATCACGCGTCACGATTCTTTCTCATTCATTCACGTACACCGTACAATTCAACGCGCGCCGGTGTGACACCTCGGCGTTCCTTCTTTCTCTTTTTTTCTTCTAACTATGGTTTCGCGCGACGCCTACGATCACATTCTTCCCACGGTAAAGTCTTGCGTTTCGCTTATCATTGGACAGCTCACAGCGAAAGAAGGTTACAATACGATCTCGTTCGTGGTGGGCGGGGACGCTGTAACTGCGGCACTCGACCAAAGAAATACAGGTGCGCGCGCATCGGCGGGCTTCAGTACCGATCGGACACGATCGTTTTCACGCGATTTCCGTGGCCAATCGATCGGATTCGAGTCGGGACACCGCGAAGTTACGAGCGACGGTCGATCATCCGAACTTTCGCGTTGACGGCTGCCTCTCGATTTCTCAGTTTCCGGTGAAGAAGATACCGCGTTTCGCGAGCACGGATATTCTTCGACAGCGATTATGGCTGCCGTCGGGGACTCGTGGGTCGAACCGATCCATTTCGTTTCTGCGTTTCCAGGCGCGCGTCGTTCGCGGGGCGGGGAATCCGCGCATTCGCGCGAACGCGGTTGGTAAAAGAGCGGACTTTCGGGGTAGCTGGCGCACCCTTCGGCCGCGAATCAGCAATCAACGACTGCGGTTCTCGACGACGGGGCTTCGTTAAGCGAATCGAAACCGACGATACGCTCTCACCCAGGATCAAATAACGTACGCGAATCGATCAGCGGGGCTTCGTCTCCGAATTCGCGGCACACTCGTCGGTGCTTCGACCGTAATTTACCGAATCGATCGCGCGGGGAACACGAACGCTGCTATTTAATCGTCGACGGTGAGACTG